AGAAAGAGACGTCGAGGAGGGAAGAGGGGAAACTGATGGCGGAACACAGGAAGAATGAGTGAGATAGAGAGGATGGATAGAGAAAGAGAAGTGCAGCTTCGTTTGCAATCGACAGTGAGACCATTAATCAGCGCAAACTCGATTAAGAGTCGTGATACACCGACCTCCGCCTTGTTCTCTCTTTTTCACTCTCTCTCTCGAGTCTCTTGAAAAGTGAGGAATTTCGGGATTTAATTTAATCTGATTCATTTGCGTTACATCGCGCTCTGCTGCGCGGCAACGTAATTGAAATGTTACTTAGAATATTCTTGGATAAGCGAAGTCTTCTTGAAAGCTGAAACTTGATAGATTCGCGAACGTAGGCGAGATATTGCTTCATAATCCCAGATAGAGACCAGAAGAAAGAGAGCGAGAGAAAAAGAGAGAGAATGAGAGGGGGAGGGAGAGAGGGGAGAGAGAGAGAGAGAGAGAGAGAGAGAGAGAGAGAGAGACGAGGAGATTCAATGTATAAAGTTATTAGAAAAAGAATGAGATGATATATTGAAATATAATCTCATCGTAACGCGAAGATTTACGCGGAGCAATGGGAAAAGTTGTTTTCCATTGAAATAAAGTCGTAAAACATCACGCGAAAATTTTGTGGCTTCGACCGGTGGTTGAAAACGATGCTTCTCGGACGTCACGGCGAACATATTTGCAGCCTTGCCGTGGAAGAAAGTCAGATTGGAACAGCGAAAAGAGGTTTCCGACACTCGTCTGGGTCATCGGCGATGCCACCGAGGAGATCTACGATCGTGTGGGATACATGTTCTTTTTGCCAATTCAGCGTATTCGCACGCTGACACATGTAGAATACGATTTATGGATCTACGCGATGTCGTTCAGGCTCTTCGCCAAAATGGAGGATCGCGACGGGAATGTTTGTAACGGTCGCGTGTTACCATCTTGCTGTCGTCAATTGTCGATGACTCCTATTAGCGCGCAACACGGAGCACAGTTGCGCGTCGCATTAATTATATTCAGGAAGTGTCGATGCGCGCGAACAATATCTGTGACGCTTGTACGATAATCCCAATGCGCGGCTAAACTTAGCACTTGCTCAAGGTTACAAAAATTTCACGCCCCGGTCACTTTAGATAACGCGTGGAAAAGTAACTATTTGCGACGTACGTTATCGGAATGATACATGTGTTGCGTATGTGTATAAGGAGAATAATAATAAACACACGAAAACAGCAGTAACGGAATATAGACACGACATGGAAACGTGGAAAAATCACTGTTTTGTGGGCGCGTAATAATGTGAGGCAAAAGTGGCGATATACAGTTTTTCCTGTTTCGCATTATTTTGCGAAAACAATGTTTAATTTTACTTCCCGAAAGAACTTTAGCACGAAGAGGTTAAGGACGCCTGTTAAACTGACACAGCCACTTTGGCACAATGTAATGCCACTTGCACGGAAATGGAGTGCAATATGTTCTGTATTTTCGAATTTGTTGCTCCAACCGTTTTGGAGAATTCACGATAAAGCGCCGGATGAGCGGTAGAACCGGAAAATCTGTGTAAACTTTCTTCCCTAAAGTTAGTATGTATTTGGTCGACGTTGATCTAGAACAGATATGATTGCACTTTAATAAGCGCAGGCTTTGGCAAATGTTGAATTATCGATGCAAAGCGCTCGGGAAATCGTCAATCTTGGAGCTTCCGCAACGCGAGAGCCCGCATTTCGATGAATGTTATATCTTTCGAATGCGTCGAAGTGTACTCCAATTTAAATTCCATCGGAAATGACCTACACGTTACCATTTGTAGCTTATCGCCGCGCCGCTACGGTCATTGTAAGGCGCGCGCGCTTTAGGTGCTTTACTGCGCGTGAATATTTTCACAGCGGAGCGTCGATTGCTTTGCTTCGCTGCATTGAATGCAATCCCTTCTCTCTCTCTCTCTCTCTCTCTCTCTCTCTCTCTCTCACTCTCTCGTTGCGACGACTGAATTAATTGTTCCGAGGCACAGACTGCGAATTCAATTTGCTTACGTTTATTACGGCGAACTGCACCCCGTGACGTCTCGCGCGTTTAAGTGATTATATCTACAATATTAAGGGGATCCCTCCCCCCCCCCTCTTACAGTGCAAATTCATTCTCTCGATTGACAATTGCACCGTCGATTCATCACGAGGATGATTTGTGTCGGAGAGTGCGCGCAAATATTTATAGAATTCGTATATTCGTGTTTGCAGATGCAATTACTCTTCGATTCGAATCCCATCCGGCGAGATTTGCTCGGATGAACGCGGCTCTCCAAATAACTAGTCGGGTTATTTGCTTAAATTTGTACAGGAAATCGCGACCCAACCGATGGACGATTCAATATTGTTGCCATGAAACATTTATATTTTGTAACGTGCGTCGCAAAAATGTGTTTCGTTATTTCCTCCGAACACATGTTTCCGAATACGAGGCGGCGGGAGGGGTCGGGGGCAGGAGAGGCAAATCCAAATTTGTTTGCGGGGTATTTTATATCACGCACGCGAGAATGCGCGCACCCGCATTTCGCTTCCATTGGACGAGGTAGTCCAATTAAACGAAGCGCGATCGTTCTGTAACCCTCTAATTAGTGGTAGTATCGATTAATGACTCACGCGCGCCAATTCAAATAGCCACGTCGCTCTCCGTCGTCCTTAAGCGAATTACTTATCACCTTAAAGCGGATTACGCCTTCGGCAAATAAAACTGTCGTTATTTACGCTCGCGATTCACATCGTGACGTATCCAGGTCGAGCTCGAGTGCGAGATGAGCGCGGTGTAAGCTTAAGATGTTCTTCGCGCCGTTGTTCCGAATCGCTTTTCTCTCTCTCTCTCTCTCTCTCTGCCCGAAGTGATCTTAAGACACAGGTTTATTCAGCCTTAAAGGCAGAAATCTCACGACGGTGTTTTATGAATAACCGCATTATATGTTCGAACGTTCGCTCCGAAGAAAGCCAGGAATTACTTCTCCCGCGTAGATTGAAAGCGACATCAGATAGACGCGACTAATTCGTGCTTTCGCTTATAAATTTCAAGCTCCTTCAAGTTCGCTCATAAATTTCAGTTTCGAATTTTCAGTCTTTCGAGACTTCGCCGAGCTGATATTTAATCGCGTCGTTCATCTCCCTAACGTTCTTGCCGTGAATCCGCCCATGTGTGCTCCACGAGCTCTCTTCTGCATCCACCTGTGTAACATCTAATAAATGTTGCACGATCCCGCCGGCTTCGCTTTCGGATTAAGGCTCATGGGAGAAATGGAGACAGACAGAGAGAGAGAGGGCAAGATGCCACATCGAAGAGCTGAGGCACGTTTTCACGAATATCGTGTCCTCGTCGAGCTGCAGAAAGGAGCACTATACGTGGGTGGCGTTAAACCGATGGCCTTAGAGACAGCAACGACTGGTTTAACGGATCTGAACTCCCACTTCCGGAGATATATACTCCCTCAGCCGTGAAAACTTTCAAGGCTCACTCGTTGGTCTTTAGGGATGTTTGAGTACAAAGTTTCGCAACACGCGACGAGTTGGCATCAGCGAACGAGATTTATATTAACAGCGTTCGATCACGCGCGTCTCGAACCAACAGTTACGGGTCTCTGATTAGCAGCGCGGAATCGTTTTGGTCGGGGACATGCTCGACGGGTGGACAGAGGGTTGTAACGCGAAATAAGTTTGTTAAGAATTCATTGAAACTTGCACTACATACGTAAATTAAAATATCATCTATCTACCCGTGCAATTAGAAGAAGATTGATCATTCGTGAGAGATCAGAAATTAAATTTGACATTTTTTAATTTCTATTTTTAATTTCTTGTACACTAAAATTTGAATTTTAATGGAAATCTACTACTACGATATTGAAAACTGATATATCGAAATTATACACAAATTTCAGACTTGTTGACTGTGTATTATTTCGAAAATGCAGCGGAGGAAGTTTATCATTTATAGTAATATTCAAAAGAGAGATACACACATTTAAACACCTCTTTCTGCGCATCTGTATTGATTAATTAATACACAAATGAAGCATAACAAGAAAAATAAAAAATGTTCATGTTTTCGTGTTTGTAATATTATATACGAGATATATATACGAGATATCTGACACACATATAAAACTCTCGTGTGTCCTCCAGGATTTTGCAGACGTACGATCGATTGCCAATTTTCTTTAATTAATAAAATATAATTAAAATTTTACGTAGTTATTCGTTAAATGGGAAAGGAATTTTTTGTTCAGTCTGACTTCATCTACACGTACACGAGAGTTTATATGTATCGTTAGATACTCGTATATATATCTATCTTTATTTCAAATGAACATTTATTACTCGAATAATGAAATAAATGTATAAAAACGTATAATTTTGTTTCTCTCACAAATAGTAAGTTTATAAATGACTCTCCTGATGCGCCACTGAAAACATAATATTGAATTTACAATCACCATAAAAGTTAATATATACTTGCTGCAAACTATTTGCGCGATATTCTGTAAATCAATTCCGCACCGCTACGAATAAATCACCGCGTGGTGGAAATCGCGAAAACTTGCTCGCGTTCGCCAAGACTACGAAGCAGCGGGGAACTCTCTCGTCGCTTACAAGTCGCTGTAAGTGTTGGATACAACATCGCGAGTGTATCGTTCCTTTTAATCCGACATTGCACGTGCACGTTTGCAACGAGTATCACGGGTGCAACATCTAAATCAACGTTACGAGTTCCCAACGTTCGTCCGTCTCTCTCCCTCTCTCTTCTTCTCTCTTTCTCTCAGGTCCTCAGGTGTGAGATTCCATGTCACATCGAAGGAGGTGTCGAACTATTGCATGCGGTTTTGACAGCTCATGCTTCGTCAGGTAAACACACACATAAACACACAGACAAAAAACACATACACACACATACACCGATGACGAAACGGACATCATCGGGAGACCAACGTCTCCGATCATTTCAGCCACCTCACTCACCTTCCATGGTCATGTTATCTCCCAGTTTCATCTCGATAGCTCCCTTCGCGTTTGCTTGCTCATGCGGTGCTCATTAAGCGCTCATTAACGAGACAATTGGCCGACACGCGGGCTTCATTCGCGCGCACCTCTCTCTTACGGCTTCACACGGCTCGGCTGTTCTTTCGGCAACACTTAATTTCGGCCTGTCGACGGCTCAATTACTTCGTCCAATGTTTATCCATGGACACGTGATACCGCTCGTTGTTCCGATTATCACGCCGACGTCGCCGTTTTCTGCCGTCGAGACTTTGCCGCGAGCTTTTCGCGTTCACGAGCGCTCGCCACTCACGCGCGATCTTGTCATAATTAGAGTCCTCTCTTTTCTTGTGCTCGCGGGACGATCGCGACGAGCTGGTCTCCGCTGACTGTCCGGTGACCGTAATTGGGAATCTCCGATTTTCCGACAGACGCGTGCGCGCGCGGCAAAATTGACGCCTCGCAAAATTGGCCCTACCGACTTTAAATCCTTCGCACCGAGTACGCACGCATGTCCTGGAATGCTCGGGATCTGTCTCCGGAGAGGGACGCTTCACTCGTCTGAAAAACAGAAGGAGACGCGAGTTAAGTTGCGCTGAACGTCGAGTCCTCGAGATGCGATTATCGGGGGATCTGCGAGACTCGAGGTGTGGACAAAATTACCCGAGACGTGGATCGGGCTGAATATCTCGTGGATAAGACACGCTCATGTAGTAACGTGCCACTAATTATGCGCTGCGGAAACGTCCGCATACACGAGCCCAATCTAATCCGTGCCGTTCGCGACGAGTTTCCGTGTGAATTTCCCGGGACGGCCTTTGGACTGTTTAGACCCGGCGTGTCGGGGAATCGATGGGATCGAAAAACGATACAGTCGCGCGACAGGTCGCATCGGAAAATCCACGCACACGCGTCCGCGCTCGACGTCTCCCGAGCTAACAATACGTGGCTGCTGACCTTCGAGAGGTATAACGGGGATTGATTACGGTGCGACGCCGCAGGTGTTTCGGGTAGCGGCGCGAGACAGGATAGATCGTCGTCGCTGCCGCCGTCGCCGCGATTATGTAGCAGTCGCGCCGGCGGCATCGAGGCGCCTCTAATACGAGAGGAGTCAGCCGTTTTTCCCGGCTCTCTGCGCTTGCATAATGCGACAATTGAACGGACGCCGCCGTGTGGCTTTCCGCAAGCTCCGCGAATTTTCAATGGAAGAGGCTGCGCGCCGCGTTTTCAACGTCGAAAATTGCGGCCACATGGCCAATTTTTCCTCAATTTCCTCTGATTAAATTTACGATGCCAGTCACTCTGGGCAGCAATTTAATAAAGTATCTGTATGTTTGTATGTTAGTGTTTGTTTGTATATTGATATTACTTTACTTCGGGAAATGAAATGATCAGGATCCTTAAGGCATGCGGAAAGTATACTGTAGTTTCTTTTCTGATATAAAATCTTTTCAATCTTACTATGTTCCCCTCGTACTGCACAAGGAGAAAATATTATAGTAAAAATTACAATAAAATTTCTGTATAATCTTGGATTATACAGAATTATGACCGAAATTACTATATTTGTCTATAAATATTATATTATACATGTTTGTCTTTTTTAAATGCTTTTTTTATCGTGTAGATTTGGCAGGTCAAATTTACTATTTCTTTAGTAATTTATCCTAATACTTTCAATATATAGTTTTACAAAAAAAGATTATAAAAAATTATATAATTCTAACGTAACTTTGACTATATTTTTTGCAATTTTTTAAATATCACATTTCAGTTTTTGAAATATAAATATGAACCAGAAGAATAATCAACTACTGTGGAATGTGGATCTATTTCTCGGCTACAAAATTTTATAATAGAGAAAACTGCTGTGGTTGCTACATCCACATATTCTATTTCGAGTTAGAGAGAGAGGATTTACACTTCAAGTTAAATAAAGACATAGTATTAAAAAAGTTGCTGATGTCGGGCAGTGCAGTTCTCACAGCAGTTCTACAATTTTTATGATACGTAATATTCAGTTAGTACATCCTCATGCACATAGTTGTCTCAACTAAAGGAATATCACTATCTTTCTATTGTGATCTGCAGAACAAATACTGTAGTTGAGAAATCCGTAAGGCTTGGTTGCATTACTGAGAACACTGCTCAAACATGTACGGACAGGCAGCAAAGAAAGTCAGTGTACTACTTTCAGAGTGCTATAGTTACTACAATCATCTTGTATGCATGGCCGAGAAGTAATATTAATATTTTGTTGCGGCAACGCCATATTTAGATAAGTGATATTATTTTCTTCGCGTGGCAATCTAGGTTAACTGCGCACATCTTTTTGTTGAGATAGCGCGATTCGCGCAGAAGAAAAACTCGGAAAAAAATGTCACCAACACTTTTCTCCTTTTATTATACTCGTTCTCGTCTTTTTCTCTTCTCGACAGATCACGATATTTGCGAGCTTCGCCGTAGAATCTCGTTAAGATCTAATCGAGAGAAAGAGAAAGAGAGACGTTGAGATTTACGCCGGGCTGCAGGTGCTCGTCGTGCGACGCAATTGTACGTTCGCCACGTCGAAATCATCTGCCTCGCTCGCTACATACGTTACGTAACGTGTTAAGGCACCTGAGGGTTGGTATCTCCACGTGTTACACGATCCTCGCGAATACAACGTGAAGCATAACACGACGCAATTGTATTCTGACAATTCCAACGCGATCCTGCCGGATGGGCTGAATGCGCAATCCCGTATCGTATCGTGCCGGTAATACGAGATTGCGATACCTATACTCCCTCTCCCTTTCTCTCTTGAAACACGTGTGTGTTGCGTATTTATGTGCAATGTGAGTATACGTACGTATGTATGTTTGTGTGCGTGTGAGAGATTGTTATCTCCGGATTAATATTTACCGGTGTGACGACGCGGCAACACGTGCAAAAGTTACGCCATTATGAGAGTTATTGATCCGATAATGGCGTATCGGACTTCAATATCCTATTGTAAATAATGTAATACACATCGTTGGCAAAGAAGTCAATTACAGTCGACCGCTGTTGAAACCGCAACATCGCGCGCTTTCTCGACACGCACGCGTTTGACTGTCAATCCAATCGCTTTTCTTTTTTCTACATAGGATTTTTTCTACATAGGAACGCGCAGGGTTTTGTTAAGCCGCCACAACGTCTTGAAAATTAGATAGAAAATATTGATAGTACCAGTAGCACTTTTCATAGTGCTACAGTTCCTGATAGAAACTAGAAAATTCGGCACTTTTAAGATCAAAAACTGGAAATGAAAAAACTTTGCGTTTCAACACGATCACTCCCCTTTCTAAAATATCCTAAATTATTAAAAAAAAAAAAAAAATAGGAAGCGATAAATATTACAATTTCTAACTACAATTCTTTAACTAATTTAACGTGGACTCTATAATAGTGAAACATTTCAGGACAAAATCCCAACAATTGACACAATTTTATGACACATTTTCAATTTTTGGATCCAACACGGCACATGACAGAAATATCGTAGATTATACATCTACAGTAATTCAAATGTAGTTCAGACGGTTTTTTGGCTTAGTCTGCTCGAGTGCTATATCGCGGAATTATTTCCAAGCGTTGTCCCGGCGTGTGAATGTTATTGAAACAAATTATAACTTTTGTTTTCAACACGTTACACATGTTTGGCAAGTATCGTGCAGAACTAACGGTAGAACTGCTAGTAACTATGAAACTATGAAACGTGCTACTGGGACAATCAATGATCATTAATTTTTCAGGTGTCACAGTACCATCACACAGCGCGCGGCGGATGATTGTCGACGGATATTACGATCGCGCGACGAGATAAACGCGTTTGGGATATCGAGTGCGACAAACGAAACTGCACTGCGACGATAATACGGTGAACGCGGTCGAATGTAATTACGATAGTGCTCTCTGTGACGCGTTGCGTAAAGCGCGTTACGATTTAGTAGCCGCGGCATGAGTGAACTCTGATACGTCCAGAATCGCGCGGCACGCGATGAGAAACTACGCGGTGGAACTACGTTAGCTACGTTAGCCGCGGAAATTCTGTGGGCGTTCAATTTTGTGTGCTTGATACGTTTATCTAGTATATTAGAGTATACGGTGGTAGCGCGCGGGACCACCGCAGCCCGCATTTTGCGGTTTCGGAATGAAGCGAGATATATCCTGGACGTAATGACGGACATAATGAACATAATTCGCCTGTTTACCCTTAAGCCACAGAATCGCGCATCGAACTCCCTTGGTTCCTAGACACACACACATATAGAGCAGACTGGGGTTAGATGTCTTATATTTTAGAATTTTAAAGTTACAATTTCTCAGGTGACCAATTATTGACTTAATCCGGACTATATAAACATGATAGAGATAACCTTTTTCTATGTATTAATGCTCGTTATGACTTTATTAACCGTATATTTTGTTTCGTAATAATCAAAATACGAACATATCACAACATAGCCAACATCTTGCTCTGGTATCGAGTTCAGTTGCGGATTCAATAGCGCTAATTAAGACGGCCACGTATAAAATATGTATCCTGGTTAGTAATTCTGGAGTCTTCGCGAGAAGTCTCCATAGCCCACCTGCAAGCCCTTAATTATAAGCCAACTTTATCTCGCCCGCTTATATGCTCTATTTTAATCATTTTATGAATGAAAACTGCACTTATTACTAGAAATAGCATATCATACACTTGCAAGGAATTTTATTCTAGCTAATAACACATTGCTTAATTTTATTCACTCGCGATGAAGAATATTAATAGAAAATTTCGGAAAGCTTGAAAATTTATTTTGTTATTATCAAATCAGTTTTGATAATTGTTTAGAATAATTATTCTCACCTCCAATTTTGATGAAAATAGGCTCATTCCACGCGTTTTTACTAAAAACGTTTTTACTAAAAAGAATCTGGCCGAAAAAAATGTCGCTCTGCCTCGCGAAGCGAGATATTTAGCGTTAAAGTTAGTCACATCCAAGGTTAAGAAATCTGTCATCTGGACGTAATGCGAACTAGGCTTTTCTCTGCTTTAATCAAAAGCATAAACTCTGTTATAAAGCAGAGAATAGTTCATACATGCTTTTCTCTGCTTTAGTCAAAAGCATAAACTCTGTTATAAAGCAGAGAATAGTTCATACATGCTTTTCTCTGCTTTAGTCAAAAGCATAAACTCTGTTATAAAGCAGAGAATAGTTCATACATGCTTTTCTCTGCTTTAGTCAAAAGCATAAACTCTGTTATAAACCAGAGAATAGTTCATGTATATGCTTTTCTCTGCTTTAAAAATATACATTATCTTATAAAAATTAATAATTACCTTTTTATACTTTTTAAGTTAATAGTTACTTTTTTATTTAAAAATTTAGATCTAACATTTTTTTTTTAATAAATGCATCAATGCAACTAAAAAGGACAGACCTCATAGGGCAAGTGGACGCACACGAGTGCGTTGTTGAACGTATTTCAGTGCAAGCCTAGTTCGCATTAAGTTCAGATGACAAATTTCTTAACCTCGGATGTGACTAACTTTA